TGATGCACCAGAGGGTCATGCTGCCATCCAGAGGGACCTCAACAGGCTGGAGAAATGGGCTGACGGGAACCTCATGCAGGTTAGCATAGGGAAGTGCAAAGCCCTGCACCTGGGCTGCAATAACCCCACGCACCAGTACATGCTGGGTGCTGACCTGCTAGAAAACAGCTTTACAGGCCAGACCCTGGGGTGCTAGTGAACACCAAGATGAACATGGGCCAGCAGCATGTCCTTGCAGCAACAAAGGCAAATGGTGTCCTGGGCTGCGTTAGGAGTGTTGCCAGCAGACGGAGGGAGGTGATCCTCCCCCTCTGCTCAGCACTGGTGGGACCACACCTGAAGTACTGTGTCCAGTTCGGGGCCACCCGTACATAGACATACTGGAGAGAGTCCAGCAAAGGCCCACTAATGATCAGGGCAATGGAGCATCTCATATGAGGAAAGGCTGAGGGTGCTAGGAACACCCAGCCTAGAGATGAGAAGGTTCAGGGGCGATCTCATCAATGCATACAAATACCTGAAAGGAGGGCGATAAAAGACAGCACCAGGCTCTCTTCAATGGTGCCCAGTGACAGGACAAGAGGCAACAGGCACGAACTGAAACACAGGTTTTGTCTGAACATTGTGAAACACTTTTTCCACTGTGAGGGTGACTGAGCACTGGCACAGGCTGCCCAGGGAGGTTGTAGAACCTCTGTCCTTGGAGATATTCAAAAGCAGTCTGGACATGCTCTTGGGAAACATGCTCTAGGAGACCCTACTTGAGCAGGAGGGCTGACGACCTCCAGACTTTCCTTCCAACTTCAACAATTCTGTGATTTTGTGAAATGGTGTTTTCAGATTAATTGGGGCTAAACCATTATACTGTTTAGCTAGATATTCTCATGCTCCTCATCAACAATTTTTAGTGATTAGGGTAATTTAATTTGCTATGAATATGAGCATATATTTATACAATACAATGACCAAGAGAATTAGAAGGGATTCACAGGTTTATCAAAACCTGACACACAATTCTTGATAAATCATTACCTCACCTGTTGCTCATGACCTGCTGTATTTTCAATTTCAGTTCTTGCTTCTCCTAAATGTATCAGTAATTAGTACAGTAACCTCTTCTCATTACTAGTTGTCATGGTTTAACCCCAGCCAGCAACTAAGCACCACGCAGCCGCTCACTCACTCCCCCCCATCCAGTGGGATGAGGGAGAAAATCAAGAAAAGAAGTAAAACTCATGGGCTGAGATAAGAACGGTTTAATAGAACAGAAAAGAAGAAACTAATAATGAGAAGGATAACACTAATAAAATGACAACAGCAATAATGAAAGGATTGGAATGTACAAATGATGCGCAGTGCAATTGCTCACCACCCGCCGACTGACACCCAGCTAGTCCCCGAGCGGCAATCCCCTGTTCCCCCCAGTTTCTATACTAGATGTGACGTCCCATGGTATGGAATACACCGTTGGCCACTTTGGGTCAGCTGCCCTGGCTGTGTCCTGTGCCAACTTCTTGTGCCCCTCCAGCTTTCTCGCTGGCTGGGCATGAGAAGCTGAAAAATCCTTGACTTAGTCTAAACCCTTCTTAGCAACAACTGAAAACATCAGTGTGTTATCAACATTCTTCACATACTGAACTCAAAACATAGCACCGTACCAGCTTCTAGGAAGACAATTAACTCTATCCCAGCTGAAACCAGGACACTACCATAAGCATGCTCCATTAGCAAAGAAATCCATAAGAATTAAAGTATATAGTATATATCTGGCTCACAGGAAAAACAATTTGGATTAACATGACGAGAACATCACTGAATGACTATTTTAGTATTACACTGGCAATATGACTATCAGAGCATGCTTGCTCCCCTTGAAATACAGAACAGTCAATATGCTGATGCAGGTCCAGCTCAGATCCACAAACCCAAAACCTTCCGTCTCAAGAAAAATCAAATCACAAAAATCATGCTTAGTGCAGCTTAAACAGTAATTGATTTTAAAAAATAATAATGAGATACAGATTATGAAAATCCTTGACAGTTAATCAAAGCTGACAATAAAGTGTCTAGTTGATTACAGCAGTATTGGTTTTAGGTCTGTCCTTAGTTTACCACAGAGGAAACTGGTTATCTGTAGATGAGCCATATGACTTGGAACAGTAAAACTAGAAGCATCTTACTAGTATGAATTCATAAACTGAATTTGTAGGTTAAAGTAATATTCCTAAAATTGAAACAGTCCTCAAATAATTGATTCTGTGAATCAGAAGCAGGTATTCAAATACTCAGAAGATAGACAAGGAAATCAGAAACCTGTTTGTAGTCAGCAAACAGAAAACATAGGAAGGTTTCCCAGAAATACAGAAAGCTTCATCAGCTGTGTTCTGTTTTCTCTTCAGTCTGGAAAGAAAAAAAAACTGTAATAATACTGGGCACCCTTCATGATATTAATAATATGAATTTTGTTTTTTGTATTTTTTTGAAATTACAAATGTATTTTCTCAAAATATCTGTATGCATAGCTACGCATTTGCCTTAAATTTCTAACTGTTTTGCACTGGTATAAATGCTACTAAATCCAGATTTTTTTGTTATCACAATGCTATAATAAAAACACTGGAGCTAAGATTATTGCTGTTGTTGTATATTTACTGAATTTCACAAGCTAGAATTCACTTTACTTTTTATAAAATAAAGGGCACAAATTGCCCTATCACCTATGCTGTTAATAAGAAAATTACAAAATTTAGGTTCCAGCTCTGTAAAGAACTGTCCGGCTTTTACTTTGGAATGGTTACCACAAGAAATATTTAGGGTATTCCTCTACAGGCTCTTGCATTCTCTTCAAAGAATTACCTCCTAAAAATGTCAAAAAGCAACATCCCAATATTAACTCTTATCAATCTTTATCCTTTTGTTTCACACCATCATATCAAAAACTAAATTTCTTCTGCATCTTCTTTCTAACAGAACTACAGCTACTGGGAATTTCTCTTACCTGTTTCAACAGGCAATGGCACTAATTCATATAATATCACCATCAGGAAGCATAAGAAGAGAAATTTGAAGTAAACAGTCTGAAATAAATATGGTATTTCTAATACAATTTTAAAACATAGTGTTTAACAGCTCACCATTTCTCAGGAAAACAACTGTCTTCATCTTTGCTTCCTACTCCGACTCCAATTGAAACAGTAGGAGGCAAAAATGAAAATAATTATTTTCTATGAAATGTAGGACTTCAATTAATTTCAAGATCACCAGAATACACTCTATCTGTTCACAGCTTCTTTGTCCCCACAAGAAGTAGTGTTTTCTAATTTCTCTCTTCTTCTATTTAAGAAATGATAGCATCCAGTCTTGAGTAACTGTTAAAAAAAAAAAAGTACCTGTGGCTGAAATGGTGGAGCAGTAGGCCCCTGCATGCCTTGTGACTGTTCATCCATTCTATCACGTAAAAGCGTCCCTTATGTCCTGAAAAGGGAAATACAGTCATTACACTGTAATTCAATCTGTATTTATGATCAATGAACATCAGCAAAAGAACTGAAGAATTAATTTTCTCATTCACATGCTTCAGTTTACAAACATTTAACTATTCCAGCCCTGCACTGTTTTGGGAAGGACTTTTTCTTACGTTTAGCTGTTCTATAAAACGAAATACATCATTATACACATCTGAATTTATTATTAGAAGATGGGCATTAAACTACTTGAGCCAGACTAATTGTTTTGTCTGATAAAAACTGCATCACCCCATTGTTCTTTAGAGGCACCAACCACTTGTTTAACTACACAGATGTCTGCTGGCCAGTACCTCAGACCTATGGGCAGCATGGGAAATAGCAGATCAGCAGGAAAGTTGTAACTGCTGCATGCATACTGTTTATGTTGCATTAAGTTATCTGTAGATTTTAGGGAGTATGCAAGAGTAGTTCCATCTAAAGAGAAAAAAGCTAAACATGTACACTCATTGCATTCTGACAAGCTAGCTAAGAGGGCTTTGAGATACCATATTAGGAGCACAGCCTCTATTCCCAACTATGAACCTCTCATATCCCATCAAAAAGATGGGAGGAAAGATGCCTGCCAAGTTCCCTAGATAGAGACACAAGGCTTTCACCAATAAAAAGGGTTGCAAAATGTGCGGAATCATTATTAGGAAGAACAGGAGAGACAAAAATGCAAATGCTCACAAGGCTTTTTTCTCAGCTAAGCAAATCCTTTCTTAGGCTACACGACATTTTGTTGAGTGGGAGCAGGTGCAGCACCCAGTTTTATTGGTGCCTGTGAGGGCCATCTCTGCTCAGATGAAGACAACAGGAAGTTCACCAGCAGCTTCGAATGCAAACAATGAAATAAGCTTTTATACAAATGAGAGGCAAGGCCTGAAAAACTTTTTCATCACACAAACACAAAGTGTTTCTGCCTATTACCTGGTGAAACCGGCTAAGGCCTTCAGAGGAACAAGAGTCATGTGCCTGACTGGAAAACTATTCTTCCTTTTCAATTATTTATTTATTTTCTTATTTCCTCTTCCAAATCCTAAAAGTTCTAGAAATGGCTTGACATAAAACACTTTCCTGATACCTCTTAATCTTTAACATCAGGAAATTTCTTGTGATAAATTTATTCTGATAAATCTATATACTTCAAATACTGCAATCGTCCTTCTGCACACAGAGCTACTTATGTTTCACAAACCTTTTTTTAGAATAAGTAAAAATTTTGCAAGTAGCATTTAAGTTCAGCATGAAAGCCTACAATCTACTCTCTGTAAAAACACACACAAAAATCAATCTCCTCAATAATTTCTTTAGAGAATATTAAAAAGGTTAGAAATAACTCCCAACAGAAAGCAGCAAACCTTAGAAACGTTTTTCAAAGCCCGCTGCAAAATATTTAAGAAACTCTAACAAATAGCTTGTGTTCATTCTTACAGCATCATTGTGATTGTCAATAGATAAAATAATCACAAAGCAGTTTTGCAAAGTTTCTCAATATACTGCCCTAGCATATTAAACAGTGGATTGGACGCACAAAACAAATCATTAGTGATCTTTCACTCCCCCATCTAAAGCAGTCACCCCACGCCATTCCAGTACCATTAGCTATTTGTAACACCAAACCACAGCCATCCTCCAGAGCAACTAAGGGCCCCCACAGCTTTGCCTTCCTATCCTTAGTACTCCCATATAAAGCATACAGTTTGAGACTTTCTGTTGTTTTGCCTGAGTATTAGGTGTAATTAATCCAAAGATAAAAGAGATCTGAAAAAAGCAATTTCAGGCAGGTCAAGAGGAAAAAAAAAAAAAGAAAAAAAAATCAATTATCAAATTGAGGTGAGAGGCAGAGAAGAGGATGTAAGAATTGCAAAGCTTTGTAAGACTGTCAGAATGAGAATCGCGAGAAAAGGGGAAACAGCAGATACATGCTGCACGCCGCTGGCTAAGCAATTTTTCAGCCAGCCCTAGGACATCAATTTTGACACTTCCTGCAAGTTCTATAACATCTCCCATACAACCTCCCCACCAAGGCAAGAAATCATAACACAACACTGAAAATTAAACTGTTGTCACAAAACTGCAACTAAATTCCCCAGATAGTTTCACAGGGTTTTATGCAGTTGCAAGTTCTAGGGGAGGAATGCATGGCAATCTTAAGGAATCTTCTGCTAATTTCTTGCTGTAGAGATCTTTCTATCACTGCCAAGATGCTACAAATTCTTTTCTGAAGTGCTATTTTAAAGAGTCTTTATAAGAATTTTAATCTTTTCGATAGCATCAATATTTCTACTGAAAATTTTGCAGCGTGTTTTACTAATATGTTTACATATTGAAGACTGTTGACCATGTAATGCACCAATAGGTAATTCTTATGGGTCACAAACACTTGTTTCAAAATCCCTGGGGAAAGAAGTAAATACAAAATTCTTTATCCTCTATTGCAGACATTTATCCAAGGTTAATGAAATCTAAGCTGAAATGTTTAGATGATGTATGTTGACTCAGGAACTATACAATCCATTCATCTTGTCTGAATGGTCAGAGGCACTGACTGGAAGTGTTTGGGAATTGGGGGGGGGGGGGGGGGGGCATTTGTTTTTTAATTTGGGGAAAGAGTAGAAAGAGGAGAAGTCATTATCATTACCACTGCCAGTGTTTCTGCCCTCTGTGGCCTGGTTTTATAACAAAAGCAAGTAAACTAAAGAGGTAACAAATGTTCTACCATAGGAAGCATGGAAGATTTATTAACTTGTGAATTTGTTGTCGCTTTTGCAGAGGAAAGGCAGAGATCAGTATTTTCTGTCCATATATGGAAGTTCTTTTATTTTTTTTAACTTGTTTTTGTCTTTGAAGACTGCATGATAGATTCACATTTTAGAGTAATTTGGCATTTTGATCATACAAAATGCCAAGGATGCAAAATGAATCTTTTGTACTGTTTGTCAACATAAATAAGTATTAGATTTTGCTGCTTGAAGACTGTTTTCACAGTGAGGCATGCCTCTCACCTTGATAATACACTCCAGAGGTCAAAACACAGTGGTATAATATTTATCATCTTTAAATTTAAGATTGAGACAATAATTATTACTCTTCCAAAGATGGTTTTCAAGTTCTAATTTATGGTGAAAAGACACTAAAAATACTGCCAAAGAGTCATCGCTTGTTTAAAATTGAAAAGCGAATAGAAAACACATCTAAATGTGACACTTCTATCACCTCTTTAAACAAGCAATACAATGACCTTCTGCAAATCCATCACCATGATATACTTCGGTTCATGGAAAACAGACAACAGATGAAGTGAGAGGCGAGCCAACTATACCACCACCACTCAAAACTTCCAAAGTGCCAAACATAACTAACATTTTTAAATGCTCTCACACTGATCATGTAGGAGGAAAGGACTCCTTGCCTTCACCATACCACTCACAAAGATAGGAACAATGAAAGACTCTCTGAATCATCTATGTTGCAAAGATGACTTTCATCATTTTGAAGATGAAATCATTTGGATTCAGCCCAGCCTGTATACGATAGCAATCACAGGAACACAAGCACATACACTAAATCTTATATTCCAGTTACAGTTGCTAATACTTTGCAGGTATGAGAAGACTTGGTTAATGTCGTGGTTTAACCCCAGTCAGCAACTAAGCACCACACAGCCGCTCACTCACTCTCCCCCCATCCAGTGGGATGGGGGAGAAAATCAGGAAAAGAAGTAAAACTCCTGGGTTGAGATAAGAATGGTTTAATAGAACAGAAAAGAAGAAACTAATACTGAGAATGGTAACACTAATAAAATGGCAACAGTAGTAATAAAAGGATTGAAATGTACAAATGATGCGCAGGGCAATTGCTCACCCCCCGCCGACCGACACCCAGCCAGTCCCCGAGCGGCGAATCCCTTCCTCCCACTTCCCAGTTCCTAAACTAGATGTGACATCCCATGGTATGGAATACACTGTTGGCCAGTTTGGGTCAGGTGCCCTGGCTGGGCATGAGAAGCTGAAAAATCCTTGACTATAGTCTAAACACTACTGAGCAACAACTGAAAACATCAGTGTGTTATCAACATTCTTCACATACTGAACTCAAAACATAGCACTGTACCAGCTACTAGGAAGACAGTTAACTCTATCCCAGCTGAAACCAGGACAGTTAACTACTAGTATTTCGATCTTTGTCTTTTTCAGTTGATCGTAACAGTAGGTGGCACCTACATTCCAAGGATGCAGGATGAAGTACCTGGGGATACAGACACCACCACCAATTTTTCTTTTGAAATTGAAATTGCATAGCAACTCCTCTAACTGACACTATTTACTCCACGCACAGAGTCCACAAGACAGCAAAAGGAAGTCAAATCCTCACCAGTAAGTAGGCTATCAAACTGCAACTGCCTGAATTGGGAATAACACCTTTTCCTTCCTTCATATACAGGCCTCACTGTCCTTACTCACTTTCTTAGTGGCCACCTGTGAAAGCTCTGGGATAGATTGTACAAAGATACAAAGTAGCCCAAAATGCAAGGGTGCATTCCTACACCCCAACAGAAGCTCAGGTCCCACAATCAGCACTCAGCTTTCCAGGTGGTTTCCACCAGCCTGCTAGAGAAGTGGGACTACCCATAACTGTTAGTGAAATCAGAGCAGAGGACCTACTCCAGAACAGGACCCAGAGTTCATCACTGACATTTCACTGCAATATATTTTAAAATACCATTTTTTAAAGATTCATAGGTCAAAGTCCATAAACCATTCAAACTGAAACACATTTCACAGTATTCAGGCAATAATGTTATTGCTTTACAGTTCTACAACAAAAAAAATACAATGCTTTCCTGTAGAAAACATCATTAATAGTCTCAATGATACATAGTTTCCATTAGCTACATGCTATACACTTGTTTATTAATTTTGGATCTTAAGTGGGGACATTTAATAATTGATGTCAAAGAAGAAACAGCTACATTTAAAAACAGTATATACTAAAAACAATATTCAGAGTGTTACAGTTCTGCTGAGAACCTGAAAATCTTACTCTTTTTTTCTGCAGAATATAGATATAACTACTCTACATAACTGTTAACACAGAGAAAGATGAAGATACACTATTCACAATGTACTACTGATCAGGCACACGGTCGCTTTAGTTGCTGTTCACAAACGATGGAATGTACTATGTTTACTTCTGGATTACACCATCAATTAAGGCAGGTATTTTTAGTTTTTAAGTACAACCATAATTTAGTTAGGTTAGAGCCAAAGCCCTCCAGAAACAACTACATACTCCTTACTTTTTGGTGTCAAGTTAGATTCTTCAGTATCTAACATGGATTTAAAATGACAAATTTTAGATCCCTAAACTTTTCAGCTATCTTTACTAATGAAGTTCAAAGATAAGGATCATCCTCAGCTGAGAAAAAAACCCACATATATTAAGACTAGTTTCCATATAAGGATACAGGCTAAAGGAATATTACCATTTGCTTATATCACATGTTGACTCTCAGCTACCCAAAAGCACAATTTAAACCCAGGTAAAACATTCAAATAGTTACCCTGGTTGAAACTAAAAGAACTGTGCTCTGGAAACAAGGGGTTAGATTTCTAAATGCCTTACTGAATATCCAAAACACAATTACCCAACCCACCACACTGGTGTTAATCCCAGCATGCCAGTAATGCCAGGGAGCCCCAGCATGCCGGTCCAATTCCAGCTTTGCTCTCTGTCACCTGGAAAGCCATGCTGACATAACCACAACTCTCAGCTCCGAGATCAGAACTACATACCTTTTGGGAGGAGATAAACTTTAGACTCAGCAATAACAGCTTGGCCCTTAAGCTTGATGTGAGCAGGTTAAGAAACAGCCATCCTACTGGTTTATAAAACATACTGCCTTAAGAGTCATTCTTTACCTCTTTAAGGCAAAAGGTTGGCCACTTGGAGGGATCTGGCTTGCTGGTCAAACCTGGCCCACACTTTGTCAGGTAACCAACACTGATCAACACTTCAGTGCCCACTCAATGCTGGCATCCAGGGTGCAGGTTGCAGTTTACAAATTTTCAAAGTGATTTTAAAGGCAGGGGCTCAGGACACACACGGGGAAGATCCTGGATGAAACAAGAGAATGTCAGTAGCTGTAAACCGAGCATCCCAACTTTATCATTCACGTTACATTAAATGACAGCACAGCTATGAGTTTTCCAAATAGGAACCCAGAAGTCATATCCAATAAAGCAAACCAACTTGGAACGTGAATCTATCGTTAATTCTTTAACATTAAAATGTAATTTTTTTCCTGGTGCTCTGTATAAAACATTGAACAGGAAAAAAATGCATAAATTTTGATGTTATAATAGAAACATTTTACTTGCAAAATGAAAGTCACTTCAGTTTCATAGACAATATTTTCAGTGCATTGCTAAAGACCAGGAAATACTTAGAAAACAACAGCCTTTGGTACCCCAAAAGCAGCTCTCAGAACGCTGAGATGTCCAAAGTCTTTACATACTTCCTGTATCTGAATACCTCCAAAAAGCACAAGAAAACCAAGACCCCCAGCAGTTTACCTGAAAGTCTGCTCTCTTCAAATTGGTTTTGTTGCGGTTTCCCCCACATATCAGAATGCAACTGGAAAGATGAAACTCAAGTGGGTTGTAGTTTAAGTGCTAAAATACATTTCAAGAAGTTATTCATCCACCTTTATACCACTGGCGGTCTAAACTCAATATTTAATATGGGTATATTTAACATGAGTGGCAGGAGATTCTAACTGGAAAAAACAAATTTCCAAATAATAGCAATGGCAGCACAGGACATACATAGTGTCTCTTCAGTAAATTATTCCTGACTTAACACAGACCATTAAAATGAAATCTGGTTAAATACACCCACATTACTATGCCATCCGTTCATAAAGTTACACACTCAGCTTAAAAGACAGCTTTAGAAATTACAAAATAATGCTGAAACACTTTAAATATTTAAAAATAATAGCTAATCAATGCCTTTCCATTAACCATCATGATCTGTGACTGGTCATGCTCCTGCCCAGCCCACATTGTCTATTTCTCAAAAATACTAAACTTTTTATCCATCTGCTGTTAATCACAAATTACAAGAACCATACAACGCACAACATAATGTTGTCAATGAAATATTACAGTGAGTTATTTAATTTAGAGTGCTGTAAAGTTGCTGATTATTTAAACTACTTATTCAATGAACAAATATTTGATATATGCCCAATAACTACCATACCAGTTTATTTTTCTCATTCTGTGAATAGGTAAGGTAGATGTACACATTAGTAAAGCGAAATGCATTTAAGCTGACACTCACTTGAACTCTGCCAAGACAATCAAGACCTTAATTGGCAAGGTATAAAGCAAACTCAAGACTGGAAGACCAAGTTAATCACTAGCACAGTAAAATATGTCATTTATTCCAATTAGTACACATATATACACACACACATATTTTATATATATGCACAATAATATATAAATATGCACACACATATATACATGTGTCTCTGTGTATTTATAGATTATGCATATATACCTATGTGTGCGTACACACAGAATATTTACTATTAGCTGATAGTGGTAAAAATGAAGTATTTGCTTCACATTGTCAAAAAAAAGAGTCTTCTGAAATGTGAAAAATACATACTCATTTGTATAATTTTCTGCAGAAGCATCCACTTCAGAGAAAAGTTATATTTGCAACTTTTAAAGCACTGGAAGTGACTGAATATAGATGCATATACAGAAGAAGGATTAGCCTTAATTTCAGAAACAGCTTCTAAAAGCCTTTGATTTTTTAATACGCTGCCAAATCAATACTCCCCACAGGATGGCAGGACATTCCTCTCCTCTGTAGGGACAGCCTTGAATGTGGACAACACAAATTCTCATCTCTTGTTTATATACGAGTAGCTATCATCTGTCTATATGGAAATAACTAATACTGAATTTTTCAACAAGCTTATGTCCAAATTCCCTACTCATGGGCGGTCCAGTCAAAGAAGACAAAACACACACAGATAGTTAAGCTGAGTTAAGAGTTGGTTTTAGCAAGAGCAGAAGTAACCATACACAAATAAAATCTACTTACAGAAAAGTAAGGGAATATACGAAGAGTTTGTATGCAATTTCCTCATCCATTCGACCCAACTTATTGGGGATATTTTCATTCCAACCCTGAAAACACATGCCAGTCACTGTCATTCCCCAACTACTAAGAGTTCGCTCTCTGTCAGCGCTGACTAGACGATGAAAGTCCAAGCTCTCCTGCTTCACAAGTCAGCTTCCCTTCCTCTTCATTCATTTGCACAATTTAAGTTAGATTTTGTTTACTTCTCGCTCTCCATTTCAATTATGTCGTCACTCAAGCAGATTGCTTATCTTGCAAGGTGCTCCCAAAGGATTGTACATGCACTGACTTGCCCCTTTTTGAACTGTTTGTTATTTCATACAAACTGCAGAAGAAACAGAACTGAAACTGCTCATGCAGCAGGCTTCTACATTTTCATTTAACTTCTATTCACCTGGAAAGAAATTTGATAACCCATTTCTTCATACTAAATACCCAGTTATAAAGGACACAGGTGGATCATGATCATGTCACAGTGAAAAGTTTTGCAGGGAATGAAGTATCCTATCTAACCACAATACTGTCAAGTAAGCAAGTCCTCAGCACACATCACCCTCCGTTGTGCTACTGCCTCGGTAAGGATGCAGTTCTAAGACAGCATGAACTGATTATGTGACACTGCTGCTTCCCCTGCCTTCAGCCATGCCTTCCAGACCCTCTTCCTTCCAGTGGGGCTCCAGTGGCTACCCAGACTGCTGGTAAGGTAATGAAACTAGATGAAAACTAACCTTGACAAAAAGTCACTTCTTTCCAGTTCAGTTCCCTGAATTGTTCCATTGCAGAGACATGGACATAACTGTGATGGCAAAAGACAGAGGGGAAGACATAGCTGAGGGTGGAGCAGCCCCAACTGAGAGCAGTTAAATCTATTATCAAATTACATTTCTAACGTGAAATTATACAAGCCAATCTAACTGCTCAGTGACACCACAGGTCTGTCTTTCTCTCCCACATGATCCTGCATAGCCATCTTTAACTCTTTGGACTTTTTGCTGAGGTGATTTAATTCCCTAATGCAGCTGGGTTTATGTTCTGCAACCAGTAAGCTGAATCAATGCATACAGGAGTCTGCTGAGTGCCAGAGAATAAGTAGGGGAAGTTCAAAGATGGGAGATGTAGGAAGGGGATTGTAGAAGAAACAGAACATCTCCCTTCTGGCAACAGCACGCTAGTACATTAGCTCACACTTCATTTGACTTTATCCTTAGGTAGGGAACCTAACAAGTACTTAAACTCAAAATAGCTATGACAGGAAGGCAAGAGCCAGCACAGAGAGAAGGTAATTTATTCAACACCAAGCCAAGAGTTTTGTCAACAAAATACTGTACAGGAAAGTAGAAATAGCAAACAAAATAAATGGAAGGAGAATAAACCAGGGCAACAAGTCAAACTGGAAAAAAATAAAGCAAATATTTTCAGAGAGAGGAAGCTAAGACATCATTTGGAAACCCTTAAAACCCCAAAACCTTGCAACTCCAGTATGCAGAGAGGCAGGAGACCCTTCCCTAACAAAGGGATGGTTTTAAATGCATCTGTAAAAATAAATTATTCATAAAGAGATGCTGAAGAGATTTACTAAAAGTGTAAACAGCTGAGCTTCATACAAGAGTTTAAAAAGACACAGGACAAATTAAAAGTCTGGAAGCATTGTCAGACAAACCCGTTATTGCTATGCACAAGGGAAAAAACACCCAGTTTGGAAGGCTGGCTACATACAACTGTACCACAACCATGGCTGATAATGTCCCCATCACTCCAGGTGAAGTAAAACACACTTAACAATAAATTCTGCATAATCCTTAAAGAAATATCTAAATATCTTAGAAACCAGTGCAAGACAACAGCTTGTAATATCATACTGCAGGTGTTAGATGCACATTCGCAAGCTGAAAAAATAGATCTGTACTATATAGTTTAAAATCTGTACTACCCCAAAGATGATGAAATGAATGAAGCACTATACAGAATCAGAAGAGAAACACCAGCCATATTTAACAGGCTTTCTGTGATCCTCTGACTAGCATTACCTTTGAGTCATGAAACCACGCATGACAGTAGCAAGCAATCCAGGATCCCTGGGTCCAGAAGCAAAGCAGCTAGCAGCCAGCACACTCACTTCAGAAGCAGGCCAACACTCAAGTTCACAGCTGTTTCTATGTTTTACATTAAACCACCACTGGCTAAAACATGCAAGACCCATTCCTGGTTTTGGAGCATCCTCAATGACTAGCTGTACAGTAAGTGCTCTATTTGCAGGCTGCTCGCTGCTCCTCTTCTGAAGTTCACCTTATCTCCATGAACTTCACAAGCAACCCACATACCTAACACATGTGCCGAATTTCGGTCAGGGCAAGTACTGGAAGTTAACTGCTGCAAAGACAACTCCTTTTTTGGATCTGCTCTCAGATGAGGACAAAAAGGGTAAAGAAGAAGGGCCTCTACAGGATAGAATGCTATGCATTTTCCCACCACCAGTTTTTACTTACTTTAGAATTAGCTTTAAGTTCACCTGTGATATTTTTGCCTTCCAGCTTTCAAGGAATCAATAATTTTGTAAACTGTATACAGCAATGACAGAAGATTAAAATGAACTGAAAAAGATTGTTTCATCAACACTTCACAGCACATAATTCAAACCTCTCCCAAAGATTTCAGCAAGGATCTAATTTACAAGCTTTACATGTACATTTACGACATTGTAAAGTAATTAATCTGGTCCAACACAGATCTAGCTATTAAATAAGACAGCAGTAACTTCGTTATAAATCATTCCAAGCAGATTAAAGCAAAGAGGCTTGAATGCAAACTCCCAAATGACAGATGATGCAATTAGTCTATTTACTTTGTCACCTATAATCAATAGTGAGAAGTCAATAATATCACAAGATTAACTACGTGCAATCAGGTCTTAACGTGATTGTTCATAGTATTTTCTTACAAATTCCTCTTTTTAATGCCTTGTTGAAAATTTTATAACAAATTTCCTTACATAAGCATGTGTTCTGTTTGCCCAACAGGGAATAAGGGTACTTGAAATATACTGCATATTTTCTAGCTACAGAAATCATGACTGAATCACAGTTATGTTTCACATGCCAGCAACAAACACACAGGATTATCTTCACCAGAGAAGCAACTCATTTTAATAGCATTGCTTCTCTTCAGCTTAACTAACCTGACAGGAAGAGTCCTTTTAATACTTACTAAAAAGGAAACGGGTAGTGATGTTGTACTTCACTCTAGGGCTGAGTTCCTTCCTGTGTGGCCGGGGGGGTCAAATGGTGATAAATACAGCAAATCAGTGCTTTAAAGGCTGCCCTTATCACCACTTTGGTATTTTGGTCAGTTATTTTCATCTCTGTTGCAAAGCACATGGAACATAGCTAGACCAAACAAACTTTCTGGAAATTAGTCAGTTAACTCATATGACTATCCATAGTATTAACCTGTACAAGATAATCCCCCACTACACATCATTCCTAAGCACTGCTCCTTGGGAATCAGGAGGAACTTTTGGATAAGCCTCAAATAATCAAAAAAATTCCTTTGGAGGTAGAGAAGAAGTTACTGCAGTTTGGCTTTTCCCAGGAGACTTTCCAAGGTAACATGAACTCATCCATTCAGCACAGATGTTTGGAACAACATCAAACTTCAGAAAGCAACAAGGCATTTATGGTGATACAACTGAATGTAGGGCTAGTGTAAATGCAGGATATTGTACTAAGTTTATTAAATATGAGGGGGTTTTGCATGCATGAACAAATGGCCTCACCAAATTGTCTCTGTGGACAAATATACTGGACTGGCTATGTTTTGCAACTGAGCTCAACTCTGTTGCAGAAAAAAAAAAAGGTATGGGTGGGCTATATGGCTCTATCTTACAATTCAGAAGATATCCCAGGTCACAGTAAAATGAGCAACTGACTTCTTGTACTCTATTTTTCATTTGAGTTTCTCATACCCTCACAGGCCTTCAGATGAACTCTAAAATGTTAGATTTTTTTCTTCTTTGGAAACAAGTTTCTATGGTGGGGATGAGATTCTACTTGTCTAATTCTTGTAGATCCTAGAAGACACTGTGATAAGTCAACCAAAAAAAGATTTTTAGGTGGCTAGAATTCCTTAATTTGTTCTCAAGTTTTTTTTTTTATTCCAATAACTGTTATGTTGAACACAAGATATCTGTGACAAAGGCAGTATCTCTACCCTTACAGTGAAAATCGCTAAGTGTGCTTTGAGAAGTCATCTACCCAAACTTCAGATATTTATATCTTCAAATTCTGAAATTAAAGAATAAGTACTGTTAATATAGTCTTTCTTCCACAAAAAAGGAAAAAAAACAAACAAATTTGGAGAGCTTTAAGTTCTTACTTTAGAGCTGTCAGACATTGCTTGTAAGTTCCCCTCTTTCCACAACATGAAAGTTTTCCTTCTTCTGCCTAAGTTTTTCACAGCCCACAAACTAATGACCATTTTCTACCGCATTTTATCTCTCTCAAGACAACCCAAGTCCCAACATGTCAAATACAGACATTTCTACAGCACTGCAACACTGAATTGCCTCCTAGATAGCCTTGAAAGTAAAATATTTTCAACTTCATTCTTCCTGATCTAGTGGAGCTGCAAATATCCACTTGACATCTAATCATCCAAAGTGTCTACCTTACAGATTAACGTATCATTCACTGTAATTTCTGCATCTCAAGCTTGTAATACAACTTTACACAGGAAATATATCCAGTACATTCAGCAAAATTACCATGCATGCGTGACCTTTCTCAAGATGCAATGCTGCCATTGCAAACCACTTCAAAGGTGGCAAAAGTTTATCATTCAGGTGGTGCAAGAAGTTAAAAAAATTAAGAAATAGTTTTTCCAATATCAAGAATCAAATATTTGTGCGATTTAATGCACACGCACACCCCTCATCATCTTTTAGGAGATGTAGGTTTAACATCCTAAGTAGTTTTACCATTCAAGAAGTGATGCTCCTCACGAAATGCAGAGCAAAACAAAGCACATTCCACCCAAAGAACAAGATTCTGAACTTCTGAATCTCAAAGCCAAGCAGGTATAGGTCTCACGGACAAAAAATGGAATTCGGGGCCAGTACTAGTATAACCGAGATTGGTAATTTACGCAAGGTAAACAGAAAAGCCGGGGGAACCCCAACAGATGGAGGATGCCTCACTTCCAGCGCTTCCCACTAGGCCTCAGCTCCTCACAGCCTCGTACAGCTACTGGCACCGCCACCGCCTGGGAGCCTCACCAGCCGATGCGGCAAGGCAAACCCGGCAGCCGTGGGAGAGAGCAGTGACGAGGACACGCAGGCACCTGCAAGAGGGGACCTGGCGGCCCGGCATCCCCCTCTGCCCTCCTGCCTGCCCCCGGCGCTGCTGGTGCGGTTCCCCTCAGCCGCCGGCGGCTGCCCGGGCGGGAGGGAACGGGGCAGAGGCAGCAGGCTGCCGCCTGGGCCGGTGGGCTCTCTCGACTCACTCCCACAGGGCCGCGGATCCCAGTGACGATGCTATTTTTACTGAGCGCTGTGTGAAAGCCTCCAGACTGGGCCGTCCCCTCGGCTGCCCCGCGGAGCATCCCTCCGACACCAACCTCCCAGGTGAGAGGAGGGCAGAGGAGCCTGGAGGAAACCCGCTGGAAACGACGAAAAACATCACGTAAAGAAGCTCGGCTTGCGGCACTAACTCGCAGTGCCCAGCCAGCGGCAGAGGCACGGGGGGCCGCGGCGAGCGGCACGACGGCCGGGCCGCACAGGCGGCCTGAGGCGCGCTGAGGTGGCCAGACGGCGCCGCCGGGCAGGGCCCCCGGCG